AAGGGGCCAAAAATAAGCATTTTTCTAGTTTCCAGACAATAACTTGTGTTCAAGTGTATGGATCTCTCTGAAATTGTACTGCAAGGTACCATACCACAAAGGGAAGGCTGGGATTGAGTTTGGGGGTGATGAATCATAAGGGGGTTCAAAAAATTGGGGGGGGGGGGGGGTTTCTTTTTTTTTTCTTTTAAAATTTTCCATTTTAAGTTGGTTATTTCTGATTTATATTTAAAAGCAAATAATAATGATATGGTAGGAGATACACACCAAACAGGATGTGTAAATTATTATATAATAAGTATTGTGCAATAGCAAGAAATTTTCAATTGTACAGTATTGCACAATAGCAAGAAATCTTCAATTGCACAGTATTGCGCAATAGCAAGAAATCTTCAATTGCACAGTATTGCGCAATAGCAAGAAATATCCAATAGCACAATATTGCGCAATAGCAAGAAATTGTCAATTGTACAGTATTGCGCAATAGCAAGAAATATTCAATTGCACAGTATTGTGCAAAAGAAGATACTTCGTATAAATTGCTTATTTCTTGATCAATTTCAATGGGGTTTTATTCTTGAATTCTTGGGGTTCTTTAATATTCTGAATCTAACCGTGTATTAAGTTTTTGGATTTTGGGCCCCGTTTTTAAATTGGTCCACATTGAGGTCCAAAGGGTCCAAAATTTAACTTTGTTTGATTTCATCAAAAATTCAATTATTGGGGTTCTTTGATATGCCGAATCTAACCGTGTATTTAGATTCTTAATTTTTGGTTCCGTTTTCAAATTGGTCTACATTAAGGTCCAAAGGGTCCAAAATTAAACTTAGTTTGATTTTAACAAAAATTGAATTTTTAGGGTTCTTTGATATGCTGAATCTAAACATGTATTTAGATTTTTGATTATGGGCCCAGTTTTCAAGTTGGTCCAAATCGGGGTCCAAAATTAAACTTTGTTTGATTTCAACAAAAATTGAATACATGGGGTTCTTTGATATGCTGAATCTAACCATGTATTTAGATTTTTGATTTTTGGGCCCCGTTATCAACTTTGTCCACATTGAGGTCAAAAGGGTCTAAAATAAAACTTTGTTTGATTTCATCAAAAATTGAATTCTTGGGGTTCTTTGATATGCTGAATCTAACCATGTATTTAGATTTTGGATATTGGACCATAATAGGTGAATGTCCAATTTAAAATTTTTAAGTTCTTAGACCACATTCATTCTGTGTCAGAAACCTATGCTGTGTCAAATATTTAATCACAATCCAAATTCAGAGCTGTATCAAGCTTGAATGTTGTGTCCATACTTGCCCCAACTTTTCAGGGTTCGACCTCTGCGGTCGTATCAAGCTGCGCCCTGCGGAGCATTTTATTACTCATTTGATTCAAAAGAAACAGAGGCTCGTCGCTGTTCTTTATTTTGACTGTCTTGAATAAAATAACACGTACGTTAGTTAAGTTTTCTGTAAGTAAATTATGTCAGTCATTGCACGAAAGAAATTAGCATAACGACTTTTAACTTACAGACAATTATAGACACCTGTATATCATTAAAGACCGGACCTCTCAAAAGTCTTTTGAATTTGTTTATTGTTGAAGATCGTTAATTGACCTCTAAAATGTCTTTTAGACTTGTCTTTTGTTGAAGATTGGTTTTTTTACCTAATAAAGGTCTTTGAAGTTTCAGACTTGTCTTTTGTGGAAGATCGTATTTTGACCTGAAAAAAATGTCTATTGGACTTGTTTTTTTTCTTACGGTCGCATTTTGACCTCTAAAATGTCTTTTTGACTTTTCTATTGTTGAAGATAGTATTTAGATCTAAACATTTTCTCTGTATATCTATATTGTTGAAGATCGTATTTTGACCTCAAAAATGGCTTTTTTACTTTTCTATAGTTGAAGATAGTATTTAGATCAAAAACATGTTCTTTTGACTTATATATATTGTTTCAGATCGTATTTTGACCTCTAAAATGTTTTGTGACCTTGTCTTCGTGTAAAGATCATGATTTGACCTCTAAAATGTATGTTAGGGTGTTGCGTTGCTTTCGCCTTGACCGTTACCTCGCGTCTGGTTATTCACAATCAAACGTCGATATGAAAGAAATTATTATTGTAAATCGAATTTACCAAAAAAAAAATATCTATACAATTACAATTAGACTTAATTGAATAACAGTTTAACAGTTTGCCTATATTTACGGTCTAAATGTTGTCTTCTTTGAATGACACCTTGTGTTTGTAACATAGTAATTGTTATTATACCCCCTCTCCAAAGGAACGGGAATACTGGTTTACGTCCGTCATATAAAATTTTGGTCGCACTTTTCTCAGGCCTATAAATCAGAGGTTTCTGAAATTTGGTATCAAGCTTAACGCGAGCATGTTATGTTCAGAATCGTCGCTCTTTAACTTCCTGTCTACCGATCTTAACAATTATGGCCATGCATGAAATTTCCGTCGCAGTTTTCTCAGGAACACTACGAATCAAGGCTTTCTTAAATTTAGAATCAAGCTTCATGAGAGCATGATATACCATGTGATAACTTTTCACATCCATCACTCATCAATTTGCTGTTTACTGAATACTCAGAGCGGGATATCATAAAATGGTGAGCCATAGCTTACAGTTCAACTTGTTGCATCCACTCGGGACCGGGTTGGGCTTTCACAAACTGTCAATCTCAGTATGAACGGAAGTGAATGATTCAAACCATAGCAAAGGGGAGGGCCTGGGTCAAAGTTTTAATCGTCATGTGGGATCGGTGTGGATGCCCCATCATACAAACTACGTATACATCGCTGACAAATATAGATAAGTTTTACTTTTCAGTATGAATTCGGATCAACAAAATTCTAAACCATATGTGTTTGATCGCTTATCAGAGGATATCAGCAAGCACAATGAAAAATCTACACTGCAGAGAATATCGAATGCTTCCGGTATTTCAGTTCAAAATACGAAATTTACCAGCAGGCCACAAAAACAATGTCAATCACTCCAATGGAGTAAGTCAAAACTTGGACAAACCATATTATATGGGAAAACAACACACCAACGACACTTAGAAACTAAGATTGCAAACATTGAAAGACAGAAGTTACAGTCTATTAGAAACATGGAATGGAAACAATTAGATGTGTTCCGTTCTCTCGCAAACTCTAAACTTAAAGATGTAAAAGAGAAAGAAAATATCGGAGCAGCGTTTCAGACTTCAATTGAGAGAAGAAAACGTCAGTTTATAGCAAAACAATCAAGGAGTGGAGTTGTTAATTTTCCTAGTTTGTCGTCTTCGCATTCTCTTGTATCGAAAAGTGGTAACTTTTCAAATGTGCAAAATAAAAATCAGGAAAAGCATTTAGAAGAGTAAAAGACTGGTAATTTATCTCCAATTGTAGGACAAATATTAATGTCGAATTCATGTCGTATACATATGCAATCATATTAAAATGTGCTATATTTGCCTTCCATTCTTGTATTCAATGATGTCAGAAGTTCTAACCACAACATACACTTTACTTTTAGTGCATTGCTAAGAACATTTTACATGACCCATAATGACATCTAGTATCTTACACTAACGATATGGCTGTTCCGAAGGCTTCTGTTACTGTCAAAATTTGAATATTTCTGTGCTATATTACAAAACATTATAACCGTGTTACGTGGTTGTTTGTAGCCTACCATCCAGTGGCAAAAATTCCTTGAATACTCAGGTCGACTGAATAATAATTTTTTTTCTTGTAGGAAGTGTTAGAGGAGAGACAAAAAAGTAAAATAATTTGAATGCCACTGAGAAACAAGGACATCTCATATGATATAAAAATTTGATTAACAATTGCTCACAGACGAATCGGCCGATTCGTTAAAGTGCAGTTTGACATCCAAATACAAACTAACACCCATCAACACTGACCTTCTTACTGGCGGATTCTCACTGACCAGACCCCTTACATAGCTCTTTTAGACATTATTCCTTTTCAATACAGTTTCCAAAGGATTGTTACTTCAATATGTCGATCAAAATGGAAGCGAGAAATATAATGCATATTTTTTTATTATGGCCACATCCCCCATGCATAAAGTGCTTTGTTATATAATCATTTACATTTTGAGGATATCCAAGAACTGTTAACGACTTTTATTGTAACAGATACATGTTTGCGTGTATTCCTATTCAGCTGGGTTTGAGCCGATTTATGTTCGCTATTTTATTACTTTATAATTCTACCCTATAAGAGCATATTCCAATGTAACAAATTCGACTATTTATATTCGCGTTATTTTTCTATTCGTGAAGGACGCCAACATAAGTTAGTTTACAGTATACTCAGTGTGTTTTTTCTTTGATATTTGATGACGAGAATACACGTTTTGATAAAAATAAGAAGAAGTTGTATGATTGACAATGAGGCAACCATCCACCAGAGACCCAATGGACGTGGGTGTACGCAACTATAGGTCACCATACTGCCTTTAGCAATGAGAAAAAACCCATACCGCGTACAGTAAGTTATAAAAAGCCACGAAATAACAAAATGAAAAACAATTCAATCATGAAAACAAATATGATAGACAGCAACCAACGACAAACACTGAATTACAGGCTACTTACTTCGGACAGACATATACAGAATGTGACGGTGTTAAATGTGTTTGTGGGTGTCCAGTCCTCTCACAACATGGGACAGTGTTGTAAAAGCACAATATACGAACAAACTGTAAAAATCAGTTTACAAAGGCTTTATTCCACAGTTCGACCCAAATCGCAAAGAAAACACAAAAAAAACTACTAACCAAAAGACAAAAAGCACCAACCTAAGAGTACACATACTTACTGAAAACTAGTCCAAAGCCAATTGCAACATGTTTCACAGACCAAAAAGACGACACAAACATGAACTTGTGTAATGCCAAAATAAAAGTATCGACATGATTAGGACCTTTAAAATTATCATTCTGATATGTATGGCCTACTACGATGAAATTGAAAGTAAAATATATTACTTTATTCAAAATAACATATATATGAAATAAACTAACAGCTTTTAGTTAAACAACGAAAAACACAAAAATGTAATTCAAAAACAAAAAAATGCAATAAAGAATATATATGCTGCAATATGCAACATTATATTGTTTCTTTTAAAAAAATATTTACAAAATACACATATGAACTGAGGCGGCCACTTTTGAGAGCAGAGACGGACAATTGCATCCTTTCCATAACGCCTGAAGTTTACCGCCCACTTTTTATGCACATATACATCTGTATTTTCAAATAACCGCGTAGTAATAGGAAATGAAAATGACGACAGCGATTTATGAATGAAGCTTAAGGTTATAAATGATAACTGCACTTAATAAATTTTATAATTTAAAGCTTGGTTTGCCTTTACTTAGATTCTCTTCGGAAGCTTTTTCAACTGTACTTATCCGTTTACATCCCGGACCTATATTTAAGGATAACATTGCTCCGAAGTAAGTAAAAGTAAACTTTGTATATCCTCCTGTTGCTGCTAAAAAGAGGTAAAACAACATAAAACTTTTTATCTATAACTCATAAACATGCCATGTGAATGCGAAATTATTGTATTATCTTGTTGGAGTAAATGATAGATAGGTCCCAGCTGCGAACAACGTTTTCCTCCGTCATGAATCTTCATTGGAAACATATGATAAAATTCTTAAATTAAAAAAAAAATGAAGTTAAAGAGCGACGATTCTGAACATAACATGATCGCGTCAAGCTTGATACCAATAATTTGAGGCATACATTCGTTGCATCTGTAAAAAATGAATAAAAAAATCCTAGCTGGATTAATTTTTTTTTCAGAAAGATCTACAATAATTGTCAACAGTGTTAACATTGTCCTTTTTGTGTGGAAAAACGGCAAAAAACCAAGATGACCACCATCACTGTAAACAAGATAAAATTGTTCTATAATCATGATAATACATGATTATTTTTGTGAGGTAAAATACTTAACCTGTATTGAATAACATCTCATGATTATAACTTCACAATAAAGGTAAACGGTATTATCATTGTCCATTTTTGAAGTTGGTAAACACACACACACACACACACACACACACACACACACATACACACACACACTTAATAAAACAAAGTAAAAAAATAAATAAAAACAAAATAAACAAAAAGCATGAAAAAGTTGAAAATACATGCAGTTGGTTAAACAATTTCTAGATTGGAACATTATATGACACCGTTTCAATTTGAATTAATTTTCTTCTTCCGTATAGGCTTTGATAGATTTTACTGCTAAATATACATATACTATATTTTGGTTTTTAGAAGGTTAAAATATTGCTAGTATTACTCTGATACAAGTTAAAATTGTTGATTTGCAGATGAAAAAGTTTGATAAAGTTACATTTCTCAGTCTTCATCTTTTTTAATACTCTTTTTAAGTTCATCTATTGCCCCGTCAAAATCAAAAAACAAACTCTCTCGAACTCCCTTTTCTTTGTAAACCTTTTCCATCTCGGCTCGCATTGGCGTAGAAGAAACTTTGCTTACGTCCGGTAAAGGACACAAAATGTTGCTATCCGTAACTGTTTCAGCTAAGCCTGGTGCTTCTCTAGATATAGCTGATGAAACAGCTTTTATTTTTAACCAACTACTCTCTGCTTCTGTTTGTTCGTCTGTATCATCGTCTATTGGTGTATTTACTTTTTGAAGTAAAGATTCAAAGTTGCTCATCAACGATTTTGCATAGTCAAATATTTCTGTCTGAGCAGTTTCTTGTTTGTCTGCCATATCACCATATGTGTTCATCAGTTTCTGAAGCTCTGACTGACCCTCCCTCATTGCATTAGCTGACCCACCCGAATTTCCATCCAGAGCAGCTTTTGCGGCTTTACCTAACACTTCTTCCGAAAGCATTCGAGCATCATTCTTGTAGTGTTCGGTGATGGCTTTCCCGCCCTGTACTCTACCTTCTGTGAGAATGTCACTCTTTGTTATTGTTTTAGTAATTGTTTTCCTCTCTCCAGAAAATCCAGAATATTCCACCTTAACTCTCAAAACTTCCTCTTCAAAAGCTTCCTCCAGATCAAGACCGATACCAATATGCCTTGTAGAAGCTGCTGGTATGTCGTAATAAAAGTAAGCCTTTGCAGTTTTTGGACCGCGGGAGGATTGCCCGTGAGTTCGTACTTTATTATCCTGTGAACAATCCTCATTAATAAGAACGGCGCCATTCACCGACTCTATGTAAACAGACACATTCCAAGCAACGGCCGCTTTTCTCATAAGAACCGGAAGGAAAAGGTCAGTTTCTGTATTTGAATTGTCAACATCCATGTCTATTGTATAAAAAGCATCACTGCTGCAGAACTTTGATAAGCAGAACATAATCTCTGACGCTGATTTTCCCAACACGACAGTAGAAATAGAAGCCCATTGGTTAAGAGATTCGTCGAGACCAAACGAAAGTTGCCGAATCTTTTCTCGGACTTCATGTACAAGTTTACTTGGTTCCTGGGTTCCAGCATTCACTTCACCATCCGAGAAGACTATAATAGCATTTCTGTAGTGAAGCAAATCACGTTTCCTGCAAGAATAAATCATATTTTAGTATTTGAATCGGTGTCAAAAATGTGCAATAGTTAATCAGTTTAGTTTATATCGGTCTTGAGAATTGGTGTACATGGCCGAATTTCGGCATAGGATGTTTTTGAATGTAAATAATGAAGAATAAGGATAATTTCAGATACATTTATAACATATTTAAAGACTGACTACCACAAATTCATAATAACTCATTCAATATTAAAAAAGTAAATTTCGAAAAATACTACCGACATACTAACCCTGAACTGGCATCTCTAAATACTTCCAATGCTTTAGACAAACCAGCACTGAGGTTTGTCTTGGTTGACAAGAAACTTTTGTCTAAAGTGTCTAGTTTTGATTTCAGACGATCCTTTAAAAAGCAAAAAATTAATGAAAATTAACAATACAGTAGTACGAACATTATGTTCAGTAAACCTATAGTCCATAAACTGTCAATTGGCCAAAAAAGACAAAACTATTACCGTAAATGTTTTCAAACAAAACAGTAGGATTGAATAGATACCATGAATCCGGAAAAATTCTGTAATCATATCTACAATTTAGTATTTCATTCGAACGGCACAAAATACTAAATAACTTCCATACATATGATATCTATTGGAGAAAAAAAAAATGATGGATTAATTGATTGGTTGAAAATATGCATCAAAACTAGAAATATATTTATAATATCGTGAAATATCTTTAAATTTTAAGTTATTTTCCCGAAAACAAATCTCTTTTCAAAGAAATCTCTTTCTAAAGCCTTCGCCGTTTGTATCAATGACGTCACCATATAATCAACGGAATGCTGCCACTGTTCGTATGCGATATATAGGCCGATTGATTGTGAACAGCTAAATATCAACAATATGAAAACCATGTATGACATTTAATAACATTTTTACAATACGTTGTATGCTGTATAGCATATGTATAAAAATGGACACGCACCCTGCTTTCGTGTGTAATTTCTGTCATGGGCAATAATACATCTGCATTTTCCCCAAACGTTACAAGGCCTGCAAAATCACCATCATCTAATGACGTCACCATATTTTTTGCAAATCCTTTAATTCTGTATAGCTTGCTGTATCTCCGTCTTCTTCCTGTTTTGATTCCCATGCTGCCGCTTACATCAACCAATATCAGAATACGAGTTTTAATTGGATTAACTTCGTTCGTATGTTTCGTTGTTATCTCTGCAACTATTTTTCCCTGAAACACAAAATATACAAGTCAGCAATAATGTGAAAAAATCGGAAAATGAAAAAGAAATCTGTAAGTAGTTTTCTCCAATCTTTTATATACATTCAATCAACACTACACGGTACCAATTTTACTGCTGCAGTGGATGTGACAAATAACGTCTCTTCAGTGATGCCAGAGGCCAAAATATTTGTAAATCCAAAGTAATGCAAACGTTGAAGAACTAATAACACAGAAAATGACCAAAAGTATAGCCATGTTCGGATAAGGAATCTCAGCTTGAACGATTGAGATATCATTTCCATAATTTCAAATGATTTCTTGAGGTTTAGAGCTGCAAAAAAAAAAGAAAGAAGCAATATCCTTAGTTTTATGCAAACGCCGAAGTACTGAGCTACTGTGCTGGTGCTATCCTTGTGGACTTACAGTCCATCATCGGAGGTATCGACAGAATGATAGTATTAAATATTAACGAGTCCAATTTAATTACTCAAAAGGTATGTATCAATTTATTTTCAAGACTAGAAATCTAAAAATGTACATGAATTAATGAGATATTTTCATTATGCTGCTTATGTACTAGACCGGCATGCGTCGTTGGCCGAATAGCAGCAAATTTTGATTAAATTTTCAAATTCTTGTATTCAATCGGACCGCGACCAACCGCAGTCGAGACATCCAGTATCTTATTCTTCCGACGATTTTGATAGGACAGTAACAAAGCGTGGTCGACGAGTGAAGACGACCAGTATTTTCCGTACTCTTCAATCAACAGTCACATAAACATAGTTTAACCCCTCCACATTCCATATGTGCCTGTCCCAAGTCAGGAGCCTGTAATTCAGTGGTTGTTGCTGTTGATCATATGTGTTTTTGTTAATTTTTTTGTACAGTTCTTGTGGTGTTCTGTTGCACCACTGTCCCAGGATTAGGTGGAGGGTTGGGCGCCCGCTAACATGTTTGACCCCGCCCGCATTCTGTATGTGCCTGTCCCAAGTCAGGAACCTGTAATTCAGTGGTTGCCGTTTGTTGCTGTGTTACATATTTGTTTTTCGTTCATTATTTTGTACATAAATTAGGCCGTTAGTTTTCTCGTTTGAATTGTTGTACATTTGTCATTTCGGGGCCTTTTATAGCTGACTATGCGGTATGGGCTTTGCTCATGGTTGAAGGCCGTACGATGACCTATAGTTGTTAATTTCTGTGTCATTTGGTCTCTTGTCGAAAGTTGTCTCATTGGCAATCATACCACATCTTATTTTTATATATAGATCTTTGAGGGCTTAAAACCAAGGTTACATAAACTGAACAACTAAGTACAGAATAAAATGGACTCTTTCTATGCGCTCACTCGTCAAGAAACTTCATATTGCGACTTGCAGCTGATATTTTACAATATTACATATGGTGTAGCATTACTTTTTTTTCATTGGTTATTACGACCACGTGATTCAAAGGGTATTCCATGTATCCGAAGCCTTGTTTTTATTTTCAAGTATATTGACGCTATGTTTCTATTTATATATATATTGACGAGCAATATCAAAAATGTTGCAAAATACAATGTAAAATACACAGAAAGATCATTGAAGTACATGTACATTTCCATAATACACTATGTAAAATATAAACTAAGGACTTTCACTCATCAGTCAAACCGTTATATATAACGTATTGAACTCGTCAAGAGTTCATAATTGATAAATATCAATATGATGAAAATCTGAAACTCGATTCTTCGGATTGTATTTACAAGTTTTTCATGGTAGAAACAAAAGTGTTATTTGCAAACCGGAAGAGGACCTGATAAGTTTAGACTATACCGCCAAACTTATTAATGTCGGGTCAAACATTATAACGTCTATGAAACGTCCGCGTCAAAGTTATTTCAGCCGGGCCAAGTATAGTTGACGTCAAAAAGTCGTGATATGCTATAAACATTAAGAGCTGGGCAGGGTGATATAGAAACAGGGAAGATGATAAATCTGGCTTTGAAAAAAGCATGATTGAGGTTAATCTTTAATTGAGGAATGATTTTTATAAACGTTTTTCTAGCATTAAAATCCTTGAATTGAGTAATTGCATGGTTGTGAATTACTTTAAGTAATATAGCAAATATCTCATGCATAGTCAGGACGAAAAATAAATAAAAACGTCCAGGAATCCAAAAAGTAGGTTCTGTAAAGTGAGTCGTCCGGGATGAAGGGCAATAAATTTGGACAACCGCTGTAAAAAGAGGCTAATACTATGTTGGATAGGGACACAAACTTTGTTTTGCAACGAGTCACCCATGAACTCGACTACGAAATTGATAATATTTTTACCATGTTTGCAGCTGGTTGATCAGGATTATCTACCTTTGATCATTTACTTTTTAATATATCTATATATTATATTGTTTTCCTCTATTCTTCATCGGCTTTGGCTATATTATTTTATTCCCGTTTTTGTTTCATTGCTAATCAGACTTATGTACTTAGCTTCAAAAACTTGTGGTACAGAGCGAACCCGATGATTTCATTTTAGCAAACGCGTGTAGTACAAACTAAAATCAGTGAGGGTTGACAAGGGGTGCTCATTTCCCAAATCCCCCTTTTTCGTAAATTTTCCCCACTTTTCACTTATTCCCTTCTCTATCCCAGATCCCACTTTTTTTACCCCTATTTCCCACTTCCCAAAAGCGTTTTACCCCTCACGTTTTTTAATGTCCGAGTATTTAGAAATGATTTATTTAACTACAATATGTCAAAGGCCTCAATTGATATTTGTTATAAATGAGGCCGTCAGAAGTTTCACATTTTTCATGTCGGAGCCTTTCATAACTGACTATACATTATGGGATTTCCTCATTGTTGAAGGGTGTACGGTGACATATAAATGCATACATCAACTTCATTTGAACTCTGTCGGATATTTGTCTCATTAGCAGTCATACTCCTTGTCCTTTTTGTATAGTGTTAGTGAAAGTTGTTTAATTATACACACGTCTAATCCGTTACCTTGGTAATTTTATGTTATACAAAAAGACATATTTATGTACTGATAATTTTTTATCCATACTTTCCCATCTTTCTCCAAACAGTAACACTGTAGATCAACCTCTCCGGACCCATTTATTTCTCTAATAGGAGGCGGTAGTTCACGAGCTTCTGATGAAAAAAAAATTACATTTTTTATTATAGATCCGAAAGTTTGTTCATAAATTTGCCAAAATATATGATACGTGGACTGCAATAATAACGATTAACATAAAGACACAACAAATATGCTATATAGCTCAACAATATTGAAAAACTACAATACCCTTATTTATCACATACTGGTATAAAATATTACCAAAATTTTACTGTTCAATAACATTTAAAAATATTAAAAGGCTATGAAAGGATTACTGGGTTTATTGACCAGATCCCTAAGAATTTCCTCAGCAGGCTGATTTAAAGGAACCGTTATTGACTGCTTCCGGAATGTTATCACATGCCTTTCCGTTAATTTCCGTGACGTTTATCACATGCAACTTCGTGCATTTCCGGAAATTTGTTCGAAAACGACAACACGGAAAACCGCAAGTAATTTAAAAGACTTTTCACAAAATGGTTGAGGAGCAAATTTCAAACTAAGAACATGATAATTGTTGTGACAAGATAAATAAAATGCTTGTAATATCAATAAAAACAATTAAAGTTGAGAAATTTGTATTTGGTTGTCTGTAAATTATTATCTAAGAATTCATAGAAAGACAAAATTTTAATTAATAGTTCTTGTCTGTATTTCTGCTGCTGAAGTATATGATAAAAAGATCATTACATGTCATTTTTCATATCAGACCCTTTATCGGCCCTCGTTCATGATATCAGCCCTCGAGCCTGCGGCTCTTGGGCTGATATCATGACCTAGGGCCGATAAAGGGTCTGATATGAAAAATGCCATGTAATAATCTATACATATAGAAGTCGACGGACATCTGAGGGCTACAGAGTATATATGATGTATTTGGACCTTGTTTCCTTTCAATCCTGGCAACTACTGATGAGACAGATAACAAAGACAGCATACACTTGAAAACATGTTTAAAACAATCAAAATTTGTGTGTCATGCACGAAGCCTTTCAATTCTGAGTTTTTTTTCTGTATTTGAATGCTGATTACTATGCACATTTAAAGGTCGTTGTGATAAAAAAAAATGGTCATGGAGAGAAAAAAAATAGAAAGCACGTTATTTGTCATTATGGTCGTTTGATTAAAGATATCATTTGTTCAGCAACAGATAATCAGACCGTACAAACTGAATATAAAAATTAAAACTTTACTAACCGGATGATCGACTTTTAGCTTTGGTAGTTAGATTTCGGATAATCGCTTTTTGTCCTGTTTTCAGGCCAAGTCCATTAATATCATCTTCTGATAAAGCTTGCAAAGTAACCATATCAGAAATTTCTTCTTCCTCTAGAAGTTTTATTGTCGCTTCTTTCACCCCTTTGATTTTCAGCAACTCTTCGAACGAAAGATCTATAAAAAATATGAAATGAAAAGTGATGCTATGTTTATATGAGTTCTTGTCAGTAATTCCTAAGAACAGTAGGTAGAATGAAATGTTATCACGCAAGATATATAAGATTGTAGTATTTTAAACTATAGTTTAATATGGTTACGTCCGTGGTTTTAAAATTTAGTTGGTAACAAGCTCTACTGGGGGTGATTTTCGTGACGTATTATTTTTTAGGAGTAGAACCACTAATTCATACCCAGTCTAATTGCTGTGTAGCATTTACTAAGCAGAGTGGGCATGAATTAGTTTTTGCGGTCTTTTCACCTTTAGTTCAACTTAGATATCAGCTATATTCTATGAAAACTGTATCTTGTTGAACTGTTCTTTTAAATGTATAATTTTATACGGATATAATGGATTACTGGTCCCCAGAAATAAAAAAACGCAGGGACAGAAATTGTACTAACATACAATTGTCCTGACAGCTGAACTATTCTGTTTGATATCAAATCAATCCATCTTTAGGAAGTTTGCTTAAATATCTAACAGAAGTAAAAAAAAAATACGCAAAAGAAATGTGCGCGAAAAAGGGACTGTTTCATGTATGTAAGGCCTCCTAATTAGATCTAAACATAAGTATTGGTTAAATACCTTGATAGATCGTGTTCATCTTTCTTCTTCTGTAATTATCAATATATACAACAATGGCTGAGATGAGGAAAGATTGAGATATAAAAAAAGGTTTTTCAGTTTTCATATCTATGGATCCTCGTGGGTGATTATTTATTTTTTTTACATCCTCGTGTGTGATTATTGTTACTTAATGGCTCTGTTAAAATTCACAATTTGCGATTTAGAGCTTGATACAGTGTTTACCTAATGGTATGTTGAACCCCCGATATGTCTTTCATATACTTTTTTTTTATATCGCTTAGTGATTGTCTCATGGGCACAAACCCCTGTATTAAGAAATATCGTTAATATAGAATGAAATATCGTGAATATAGAATGAGTGATGTTTCCCAAAGACCAACAGTAAACCAATTGGAAGTTATTTATACAGATTTTATAAACATTCAAATAAGATTTACAAATCACCAGAAGTATTCACACTGCAAACGGAAATCGTTTTTTTTTAAACTTCGAATCCGATGAAATTAAAGTACTAAGAACACTTAATATTATCACTTGGCACAAGCTTTAAATTTCCTTAAATACATATTATTAATGACGGCATGAGTATGGTACAAGATCAGTTTAAAGTACAGGATACATCGCAGGAAAATAGCACTTTTAATTTGAAAAATGTAATGAACGTTTTATTTTCACAAAATAAAATCAAGTATTATGGTAGAAATGTCTATTTTTTTTAAAGTTAGGTTTTGATATATGTTCTGTCCAGTCAGTTGCACCACAGCTTGATAGAACCCGTGTGAATCAATAAAGTTAGCAGATATATCATGAGAATTAAAGGACGATAAGCATTTACATGGAAGTTGACTGGGCCCAGATGTAACTCGTTGTTATTACTGTATAGATGAAGATGAGTGAAAGTCATATGAAACGAACTTCTTGTAATAAAAATCTAATCTCAATTATTGAACCAACGCATGCATATATACTAAACTAAGTCCAGTATGCACGGTTTTTTTTTAATTTATTACAAATCTATGACGTATTATCGAAAAAAAACCATTTCATTCAGTGATTGTTGTTTGCAAGTAAATTAACTTACGAGTTTGGTGAGAAGTTTACCCAACCTGGTGACATTTATAAACAATCAACACAGAGCATGTAGAGCATGTGAAAAATAAGTGAATTGAAAGAGCCATGATATTTTTTTTAATATATTTTCCATGCGTTTCCATTAGTTAATCAAACTTTTCCTTAACAGGTGTTAAATGATTTGGTGTATTTAATTTGTTCTTTAAGAATCAATTACTAAGTTACTATTTATCTACCAGTGCACGTTTGTTTACATTCTTTCATCACGGTTTTCCCCTCGCACTTGCGTTGTGCGGTGGCCGAAGTTCTAACGAGAGGTCTCGTAGTTAAGGTCACTGCGTACGTTAAACCATCAGCTAATTAGAGTACGGGAAGACAATAATTCAGTAGAAGTACATTTATGAAGATTTTGATAATACAAACGAATTTCTTTTACAAGAAAGTTGACGTACACTTGTTTTATAGTAAGACTTAGCCATGCAAGTATATAAAACATATCCAACTTTTTTTTAATTTGAAGTTTCATATGACTTTAAAGTACAACCAGTGTCTCTGTACTGAACTTATTGATGATGGTGCGAAAGAAACACGACGAATAATAACCTTTTAGAACTAAAAAAAAACGTAAAATAAAAAATTGAATAATACGTTCTGCAAAAATAATAAATTGAATTGAGGATAGTTAATAAAGGGGATGGATGGAAAACAATCAATGCAAAGCATATGCCTTCAGGGAGTAAACCCGTAAAATTATGATTTAACTACCACTTTCCATGAACAATGATTGATTACCACTCTTTTTAAATCTTAGGAGACCAAATTATTATAATATTGAGGACATTAAAACGAATCTTTGAGTTAAGTCAACGAAAGATAGGATAAACTAATCGACTAAGCCTATGTCGGGAAACTATTCAACTTTCACTTTCAAAACCTTTTCGACTTTATCTTAATTGCGTATGGGGGAAAGGGGGGGCAAGCGTCAAATTTAGATCAATATAATATTTTTCCAGAAGATTTGTTAAAATATCCAGATGCATATTGACATCCCTTAAACTGTAACAATGAAAATTGTTTATTACAGATGTCTTTATTTTATTAGAAATAATGAAGATCCATTAATTAGATTTTCAAGAATTCTTTTTCAATTTAAAAGACTAATAATTTTTGTACTGAAGCTTTTTATTGAATATTTTTTTCTTTACCTTCAACAGCTCCGCCATTTGAACTATTCGAACTGCTTGAACTGTGTTTTGACGATGAACGTTGGGAATTAGATGAACCTCTTGAATGGGGCGAACCTATAGATCCACGACCGTCCGAAAAGCTTCTTCGTGGTGGTCTCATCGGAACACAGTCGTCTTTGTCTTGATTCACTGTGAGAAAACAAGGAATAATTCACCATTTATTTCATCACGAAGCATTACTTTTTGGTTTATTATATGCAATACTTGATTCCAAAAAACAAAATTTGAAATCAAAACACCTGAAGAAAAGTGACAATGATGTAACAGCTTCTATCCATTTTTTCAAATGCAAAACTGTCCTTTAAAAAAGATCCTAAAAACTTCAAAATTAAAATAAACTTGAAAACTGTGCATGCCGAAAAAGGATGTGCTTTCCCTGCGCAGAACCAATCTCCAATCAGAAAAGCTCATGAACAAATCTGAAAAGTTAAAATATAGAACGATTGGGAACATAAATATAGAAAAGGCCTAAATAAAAAGCCATACATGTAAAAGGTCAACTTTGCCGTAGGGAGCTGCAATCTTAGTTTTTTTGCATATTTGTTTTATAATTTTGTGAATTTGAAATTTACACCACACCAATACTGAAGCAATGATTAATGGATGCATGGATAGTAAAATATGATTACTAATAAGCGTTTTTGCAATTATATGCCGTGTTTAAAAATACCGTTGAGCTTCTTTTTCATTAGCATACTTTGAGTGACTGTACTATTGATAACTTGTTCTCACTATATACAAGTTGATAATTCTTTCAAGTCACGTGATTTCGAGCTTGGTAAAACATCTGTCAATCATTAACGTACAGCAAAATATCGTTAAATCTTAAAATGAAAAAGAGTATTGAAAAGTACAAACACACACACTGTTAGACATTTTAATTGTATTATTAAACGTTAACTTATGATCTCACTTCACACCTTTCACAAATTTATATCTCACCTGGAATTTGCCTAAGTGATATGTATTCATCGGCTGCGTCTTTGTATTGGTTAGTTGCACCCGCCATTATTTTGTTATCGCAAGCTTGAAATATAAAATAAGTATCAATGTCAAGACAAATATAGTCACGTTTTCAAGATTTAATTTATCTTGGTACATATTTCAAATCATTCTCAGAAACAATGTTGAGGGAAGAAATGGCAAGCTTTCCAAGAAATTTGTAAGTGGCTTGGTCGTGTAAAAACGATACTACTTCTGGGATGGGAATTTTTTTGAAAGATCATAGGGGATATCATAAGATTTTTTGGGGGTTAAACTAAGCATACAATAAACAAGATTATAACGATATAATGGTATTGAACGTGGGGGAAGCTACTGATCTATACGGAATACAGCATTTAAAATATCAAGGGTATACGAAGGACCACAGGGAAAGAGTGAACTCCGCGTACAGGAATGGAGAACCAATTAAAGTGTGGGAATGTAATAGAATTGACAAAGACCTTGACAAATACTGGATCCGAAAGCATTACCATGATATGTTCTGAACGGTGAACGTGATATAGGGACTTTTTCGTGGTGAAGGAAGGAATTTATTACGGTGAATACACAGTAAGGTAAACACTAAAGGTTTAGTCAAAGGTTGTCCTAGCTGTTCGTTTTCTATATATTCTAGACATTCTCGTGCTTCTTCTTTTTCGATCCAAAATACACGCTTTGCAAATGGAGTAAATACAAAAAGTCTGGCACATTAATGACCGTTTAAAAATTCATCGGAATGCATACTTGCGTACCATTTTCACTTGTCTACATAGTCCGATAATGACGAATATTTAACGTTGCTTCGGTGTGTCTGATGAACAAGACTGTCTAATTTGTTTTTATACACGCGTGTAATTCTGCATCTCGTCCTTTAACCCTTTGATTGTTTGGTTTGCGCTTTTGTTGACAGATACTATCCATTTCATGGTAAATGAAGGCAACAGTAGTATACCGGTGTTCAAAACACTTGAAGTCAGCGAACACGTTGTATGGTACTCTCATTGAAGACTTCAATCTTAATTGCTTTCTTGTTCTAGCAGTATTTCAGATGTTTCAAAAGACCTATTTAGGAATGAACAAATTCAAACATCTGGGACAATAATAACTGCCATGGTAATTACCAATTGTTTATCAGACACAAGACGAGACATATTCTTGCAACAGTTCTTGGAAAGGGTTTGTTTTCATTGCTTTTGACGATAGTAATATTTTTCTTGGAATCTAATGCCTTGAGAAGAGAAGTGAAGATGGTCCTTTCGGTGTTTTATATATTTGCTGAATTGTAAAGTACAACTCAGAACGTGTTTGAATAGGGATCATACCACACCCTACCCTTCTCAAAACCCCTTCCCCAAAGCATCTTTGCACATAGCTCTTCCATATTGGTCACTCATGGTTAACACTGAAGAATGAAAATAAGCCATATCTTCTTCCTCACCTGCTGTACAAGGATGAGTTGTTTCAATAAAACTTTTGATTCTATGTCGATCTTTACGTGTCTTTGTTTGCTTTAATGTACCTTTCTATGTATATTACCATTATATAATAGTTTTTCGATTCCTATTCTAAGTTTATAGTTTAATCGTTCCACATAGTACTCTGCACTCTTTGGTTTTTCCAATTTCTAAGTGTAGGTCGCTTCCTTCCCTCTTTTAACTACCATAATATCTTTTCCTTCTCAAGCATCTCCTTTTCTTCGCTGATAAGATGCTGATTCTGTTCCGCCTAACTTAACACTTCTTATGTTGTGCTCTCTTCCTTGTATCTGTTTTACATCTTAATGCCATATTCTTACTTACTGTTAGAAATTCTTGTGTATTACAAATTTACTTTTTCTCATTAATTATCAACTTTAGTCGTAGTTTGTTTCTTGTTATGAATGAAATTTTCTTTACATGCGAAAGTGATAATTTTTTGCGTATGCGTTTTGAAAAAAGATTGTCAAAGAATCTTCAAGGATACACAGAATTCAGCTTAATATTATAAATTGCAATTATATATCTACGCTCATTACCCTATTAGAAATCATAACATTGAGAGAAAAGGAAACTGCGAAATTTTATTCACAAATGTACAGGAATGGAAGTCAACTTATAGGATTTTTAACCGGTTAAATAAATAATCCAGAATTTTGTGCCGTTTTGGTGATTAAAAGTTTGGCTATTGTACAATCTGATTGAAATCTAAGAACTCTACGTTCAGTTTTTTGTTTAAAATACCTTTCGGGGTCCTCCAATATAATTTAGGTAGACACAGGATCTGTAATGTAATCAGATTGGGTATCCGCTGGTTAGTCCTAATGATACACATCTTCGAAAAATGTAATAATTACGGAAACAGAAAGTAAAAAAGAGTATTGTCAGGAAAGCTGTATTGTTTATCAGATTGGCTATTGTAGAGGAAGTTTGGCTTATACATATGAGAAAATTATAACCTTTTGTTTAAACGTCAATCAGACGATATGCAAATTACTGGCTTAGCACCCATCTCTTTCACCAATAATGATAAGCATGTAGCCCCATCTCCTTATTGTTATGTTAATGATTTTGAATAGCCTCCCTTTACCCATAAGCTAATCTAACTAGAGTTAACATGGTTGAGGAGGTAAATAACTATGTTTAATCAATTCATTCATGAACATAAGAAGGTCAAGACAAATATAATTGCAAGTACAATGTATGACACACAGCAATGAACACGGTTCAAAACTATTCGCGAAAAAATCTAACAGGAGTTGTCGGCGAAGTCCATGTTGATATCAATATAGTTGCTCAAGTGCTATATCAGTTACAATGCTACGTGCATTGTTAGTCAAGTAATATCCTGCAAATAGGTAAAAAGCCTTATAAATACTACGATTTTTCCATTTTTTGGGCACTTGTCATACAAAATTATCCATATAACCTCATTTTTTTTCCAAATTATATGCGCACTATTTATTTCTTTATGGGCGTGAACGTTGAACGTCTCAAAAGTGAACTATTCCGTAAAATTTCGAGGCTTTTCAAAAGAAAAGTACATATGTCCTACCACTATTCAAGCCGTACTGGTAATTGCACTGTTCCTCAATTGCATACTATGAGGAGAAGAAAGAGATTATGTTTTCATTTCCATTAAATGAGCTTACAAGGGCATAGTTAAACATTATACATTATTTTATACAAAAACAATTAGGTTAAAAATACACACAGTTTGAACATTATATGATCTTATCTTATATCTTATAAATGTACATAAGCGGGGAAAATACACAGAATTCTCAAAAACGGACCACAATCTGCGGTTGAACTATTTAATTGTTGTTCAAACGAAACGACATGAAGTCTGTAAGGAGTTTATTTATTGATCATACATCTATTATATATGTATTTATTGGGGTCCAATTGGAAATTTTTTATAAATTTTCACGACGAGAACAAATTAACAAGAAATCAAAAAGGCAGGTCTACTAAGTGGGATTTCAAGATGAAAAGGCAGACATTTTTTTCTTGAAAAGGCCACCCATGGACTCTTCAAAGTGTTGTTGCAAAGCTTTTTAAAGGTTAATAGAGCACGACATTCTCCGTACACGAATCATCACGATTTAATGTTCCCATTCTGAACGGAAATGTGTACGTTTCTATACATCCCGTACAGTCAAACAGACGCCACTCTTATAGTATTGGTTGTACTGCCGAATGGGAGATGTCAATTGATAACCGTTTTTCTATATCCAGTCCACCCTTGTGGTTATCTTACATCTTAAACACCGTCTATCCGATCTAAATCTCTTTTCTAAACTTAAGGTCAATACTTTTGAAAGTATTACTCCAATTTATAATGTCATAAAATCCTTCATTTAGTTTTACACATGCAGGTTATGTATGAAACAAAGCAGTGCTACACTGTCACATTTTTTTTTAGTAAATTTACTCCTTAAATATACATATTTATCAGTGCAAAAATGCGGATGCTGTTCAAAAATTTTGAAAATTCAGTTGAAAATCCCAGATTTTCTATCAACTTTGAAAGAACTGCCTAAAATAGTACACATAATAAATGGATGTCATTTTCATATTCATATTTATTGAAATTCTAGACATTTTTTTTAAAAAGATTCATTGAATTACAACAAAATGAGACAAATTAAAATTTTGTGTCATATCTACGAGCTTGTGTCAGTATATACTTGTGTTCCCTAAATCCAAAGAAAATTACAAAAGCACAGCAACAACCCCGATTTAGTAGGCGGTTAAAGGTCACGCTCCTCAAAAGAATATTTATCTTGTATGGAAATACCGGTGTTCTAAGGAATGAATTAAATGTAAATAAACACAATTTGTAGCACTTCGAAAGTGATTACTTTTATCTGATTCTGTTTACGTTTCATATAAAATGTCGTGGGGACACACAAAATGTGTGTGAAAGCTTATAAAGGCAGTTGAAGAAGGCTAGTATGTATACGAGCATATGTATGACTGGCGCCCTTACTGAGATGGTGACCGTGTATTTTCTGTCATTTGCACTTCAATTTTTTCATTAATTTACGTTCTGTGCCTATTTTCACTGTTTAACATGCGTGTATACATTCTCGTACTAGTAACTTTGGTAAAAAAAACCTTTAGCTTGGCCTATATTGGAGTATTACATCTTGTATCATATATGATAATAACAGTAAAGAAATGTGGTATGATTGCTAATGAGACAACAATAATCTGAACTTGAGATGTCAAACTATTGCAATTTATCTCCAAATTTAAAATGTTTTAAAACAAGGAAAAAAGAGAAGAAAAATTCAAATGAAAACAATAATAAAGCTATTAGTTTTTCATCGAATAGATGCACAATGATACATTTGTGTTTACTATTTATAATATATGAACAATTGCCATTCTCTAGCTAGCGGCTAATAATAGCATAAATATATAAATATGTAATTTAAAAAAACTCCTTGAATAGTTAAATGGACGTTTTATATTTATATACTTCTGTAATGTACAATAGCTGAGGGTCTGGATGGGAAATCATTTCTATATTCTTTCGGGTTTTTTTTTATTTATAATTCCAATTTTCTTTATTCTTTATTTTTGTTATCCATTATTTTGTAGTCTTGATATTTTGGCCTCCATTATTCTTCATTCTTTATTTGTTGTCCATTTTTAGTCCGTTCTTTACTTTTTGACCTTTATTTCTATTTGGTAAACCCTTTATAGTTCGTCTAATATTTAAAACCCAAGATCGTCATTCTATACTAGTCATCAAACGTAACGATACACATGTTTGAACTCGAATTAATCATACATCCCAATAAATATGAAAACTGTTGAATTTTTCATTGAAAAACACTAATTTGCAAACTGGTTGCAAATGATTCAGAAAATTGTAAAATAAGAAAATAACATAAACGAAAATAACATAAACAAAGGGGTCCCATTTATATTACGGAAAATGATGGCGAAAATCGACACATTTCTAATATGAGGGTTGAGTATGAGGGTCTGGATAGTGTTTACATAAATGAACGATGTACAGAATGAAGATATCATCTAATTACAGAAAATTTAATAGTAAAATCATTTTCACGAGAATTTTACAGAATAAGAGCTATTATTAAAGACAAATTATGCCCTAAAGTTTATAGAATACAGAAATTAAGGACCCCCATCCAGACCCTCTAGTATTCAAATTTCTGCGAAAAAATTCAAGATTTTAATAGAATAAGTTTATGTTTCAATTTTAAGTTCTAATATCGATTTTATATGATATCTGCTGCTGCTTATGTGTTAGATTCGTTTGAGTACTGAAGATTAACATACACCCAACTGTGTTGTCGTCTGTTATCAGGAATGGGTCACCTTTGGTAGTACGTGCCCAAATACCCTCTTTGTTGATTTTATCAACGTTTTTGGTAAAACTGGTAGGTTCTTCTTGCGTTTGTTGTACATGGAAATCTTGCAAGATGGGAAAGTTTGTTTTAATATTAACTATCATCAGTTTATGTGGTCGGATGACAATTTGTTAGGTATACAAATTCAATATTTTTTTAATTTTACTTCTTTTTATCTGACTTATTATTATTTATTTTAATGTAATTCTTTGAAGAAGAAAAAACATATTACAAACAAACAGTGTATTATTTTTTTTTTGAATAATATACTTAAACAGTGTAAGAAATATGTTTTCTTTTTAAAAAATACAGGTAAATCTTAGGTGAATTCTTAATTAACCTTGATTGTTATAAAAACAAATTATTTATCAAAACATCTATTGTTATTTGCATGTGGGAATAGAAGGAATAGTGATTTTTAAAAAGTGGGAATAGGAGGAAGACACCGTTTTGCCTTCAGTCAATGGATTTGATGCGAAAACAACACTAACAATAAATATATTAAATCAATAAGACGGGTGTTTTTATTTTTGCTTGGTACCGTGAATCCAATTTAATGTATAAGAAAATGCACGGACTTGTGTCGTTTATTTAGTTGACTAGTATATTTCCTTATGTGCGTGTAATATCAATGGAATATATAAATGTATTGATCTTATTAAAAAACTATACTCGTATTTCAAGCTTCGTCAATTCAACTTGAGATTCATATCGTATCCGCTCATAAAACATCTCAAACTGCATTGATTATAGATAAAAGAATATGTGGAGTATACTTCAATGAGACATCAATTACACAAAAAACTAAGACACATAAGGTCAACACATGGTCTTTACTACACCAAATACCGAGTTGTCAATTATAGCATAGCTGGACTTGCCCGTCAAGAGAAAAGGTTCTGCAAATAAGTGAATTAGGCAAAATAAAATGAGCCTATTTAACATGCTTCTAGTGAGTAGAAAAAGGGGGGTTACATAAATAGCCGTCCTAAGAGTAAAACGAGAGAAAACCTTAATTGTACATGTAAAAAAGCTTACACACGTTTTCTTCTTAAATTGAAAAACATATAAAATTCAATAATACACATGAATATTTTTCGTAATATACGGAAATATACTTACTTATAGATAGTTTCACACTTTAGACCATGTACACAAGTGTCATCCAACTATTTCAAACAGTTAACTTCCTGTTGATCAAAATTTAAGATAAAATTACCAGTATGAATGTTCTCCCCAACAAGGAAGTATTTATTAATTATAAAGAACTGGGAACTTACGAAAGAGTTCTATATTTAGATACTTGATTTATTCGTGGTTAACAGTTTAAATGAACCTGTCTTTAAAAGTAAAAAGGTATTATCATAAAGCTTACTCGCAATTTATTCACAATTAATTTCGTTTAAAGAGATTTCTTAAAAAGGAGAAAAAACGGGCTGATTCAATGGACCGACTGTGCGAGACTCTCATTGTAAGTCAATGTTGTTAATGCACCCCCCCCCCCCTCGCAAATGTATGAAAACAATAGAAACAAGTTGCTCGGATGGTCCTGGTATTGAACTATTCCAACATTAAAAAACCTTTGCCATTCACTCCTACATACAAAGACTGATTGATTGATGTTTGCTTATATGAAAATAAGGGTATATTGCATGGATAAGGACAGAAATTTTGCCTTGCAACAGGACCATAAACGGACCCCTCAAAGAGTTGTTCGAGATTCTTAACGTTCAGAGAACGTGGGCCGGCACTTTCACTGCACGAGGCATCCGATTTAACGTCCCCATTCTGACCGGACGTGGCTGCGTACTTATATATCCCGCCCATCCAAACGGATGTTCCATTTTTGCAAAGGATTTACTGTCGGTCGTAAGAAGACCAAATTGACGATAATTCTATTCCTGGGTCAACTCTGGGGACTACTAATAAAGGGCATTATTGTTTGGGGCTACCTGAAGCCCCCTCCTGGATTCTCGCTGTGGTGAAGATCCATTGGTGGCCTTGGGCTGTTTTCTGCTCTTTGGTCGGGTTGTTGTCATTTTGACACATTCTCCGTTTCCATTCTCAATTCTACAGAAACAATCAAAGTTGAAAAAAAATGTTTATCTATCTATTTTTATTGTGTTTCATTTTTTTTTCTATAATCAGTGTTATCATTATTATTTTTATTTATCAATTTATCAAATGATAGTGTGAAAATTGAGTACATGTATTTGGATGTCCACAAAAAATGACATAGCCTATTTCAAACTTTTTATTTAAATAAGGCATTTTGTTATCATTATGATGTTTTGTGTGCTACAACTAAGGGGTGTTTAACGACCTTGACTATGATTTGTTTGAAGTTCAGAGGTACTAAGATACCACTTGAACCCATGCAAACAAGTCCAGGATTTTAAAAGTGTTTAGTTGCAAAGTAACACGTTTTGAAAAAAATATTCATTGATTTCAAAAGAGAATTTAATTTCGGTCAAATAAACAACAGAACCTATATATTTCTCCGACATCACCAGAGAAACATATCAGTAATTTAATTTGGCGAATACATGCAGGATGATATCCAAAATAGCTTTTATGTTTATTTTGTCCAGAATTGCTTTATCCATATCTGTGACTAAAACGGATTGCCATGACGAGATTCAGAATATGCAGACGAAATTGCTAATTCAAGGGAAAGAAATAACTTTTCTAAGAAATCGAGTAGATGAATTGGAAACTCAAAAGACACTGGTAGAGAAGATAGAACATGACGTACAGAAACTCCTAGAGAAAGAAAAACTAAACCAAGAACGAGATGCCTTCGATATTGACAACAAATATTTCAAAAGGTATGTTATTTATTTATTTATTTATTTATTTATTTATTTATTTATTTATTTATTTATTTATTTATTTATTTATTTTTTATTTAATATTTGATGATATAGTTAAATATGTTTTTGCCAATATTTAATAAAATCAAGTCTTATCACAATTTGAAATATCATTTTAGTTCTGATGAAGGTCAATTTGAACAAGCAAAAGAAAGGCGAAAAAGACTTGCAGCCTCAGGTAAATAATTAACTATATAACCAATATTCGTAGTGTAGGAAAATATAAAATTCATTTGACGAGCTTTAGGAACAGAGAGGCTCGCCGAGCTTTTCTCCTGTTTCGTAGCGAGTATGAATAATTTTTATATTTTCCAACACGGTATGAACATTGTTTTTATCCTGCAATTTAACATTGAGCTTAAACATAAAAGCTTAAAAGTTTTTTATAATCCTAATCGTTGTTGAAGTAAATCGACATGACTTAAACGCGGACCGCATTGAGGACCCCAAATTGAACAGTAAACAGTTATTTGGACAAATCCGTTCGCTCGCAGCAAGAGCAGTATACCAGGAGACTATAGACGTCTAGTATACGTTTATCGGTTCATGTTATCTACAACTCTGTATTTGTATAGTAGAAAGGTCGATTGCAGAATAACTATAATTACATTACATGTATGTATGTTTCATTAGAATCCGTACATTTGATCGGCCGACAAAAATCGGGTGGCACTCGAATATCAAATTTTATTTCAATATAAAATAGAACATCTATGACTGCACATGCTAAACGTGACAATGTTAAAACAATGCATAGAAAAATAAAACGAATGCTTGATATAACTCTTGATTTCATGGTTATAGCATAAAAATGTAATTCAAGATAAGAATTGAATGCTTCTTTTAAATGCCAGAAATGTATGATGCGTTTTATCTGCAAATTGCAAAGTATACTTGCATGGTAGTTTGCCTATTTAACTATGAGCTACCGTGCCAAATTAAATGATATCTCCTAATAAACTTCGATTTATTTTTATTTTTGCAGGTGTCCAGGTAGGATTTACAACCAGCGTACCTAAAGAAGTTACAAATTCAGTATTGTTTTTTTCACATCTGGATACAAATGTTGGTTCTGCATACAATGTGAATGATGGTATGTTTACTGCAAACCATCCAGGCTTGTACGCTTTCTTTATCGATGTTGAGTGCGCCCCACATAGCAGTGCCATTCTCACTGACATTGTAAAAAACGGTAATGCAGTATCCACAGCATATTGCCAAGGATCAAGCGGCTATGATAATACTGGAACTATGGCGGTTATTTCTTTGGAAATTGGCGATAAGGTCTTTCTGCGTATGAATAAGGATATTAACAGACTACAACTAGGTGCAAAAACAACATTTTCTGGATTTTTAACCGGTTTTGCACCCGATTCCTCTGGATCAATCGGAATTCTGCCGCATATCCCCTAAACCTGCAGAATCCTCCCCTAAAAGAGCAAAATCTAGCCAGATACAATATGTATTCAAGTTATATGGAAACAGATTATTTTTGTTTCTTCTTGTTGTTATCGTTTTATTTGATACTTCAAAACAGTGTGTTTAGAAAAACAGAGCATCTTTGAAAAAATATATCTCCGATAGCAGATACCATATTTGAAAATAGACAAATATGTCCTATATTTTGCATTCTACGGGAAAAAGTAGCAAAAAATACTGCTCCATAAAAAAACCTTTATACCCCTTCATGCCGATGCATAAATAAAAAGAGATATAGGGTATACGCTTAAGAGCAACCCAACGACACACAAAAACCCAAAAGGCACTAGTTCTTCTTTTAATCTTTAGTTGTTCTGAAAAATTCCCTTAGTTGGACAATTGTAGTCAAAGTTGGACAATTTTAGTCATACAATAGATATAAAAAGATGTGGTATGAGTGCCAATGAGACAACTCTCCATCCAAGTCACAATTTGCAAAAGTAAACCATTATAGGTCAAAGTACGGTCTTCAACACGGATCCTTGGCTCACACCGAACAGCAAGCTATAAAGGGCCTCAAAAATGACTAGTGTTAAACCATTCAAACAGGAAAACCAACGGTCTAATCTATATAAAAAACGAGAAACGATCAACAAACGACAACCACTGAACATCAGGTTTCTGACTTAGGACAGGTGCAAACAAATGCAGCGGGTTTATACGTTTTAATAGGCGCCAACCTTTACCCTACCTGAAACAATAGTGTAACATCACAACATAGAAAGACACACTATAAAATATCAATGGAAATGGCTTAACTCAATCAAAAGACATATTAACAAAAACCAGTGAACATACACTGAACGAATAAATTTGATCTATGACACAATGTAAATACAAAATTAATAAAACAAGGGAGTTAGATGTTTAACAATATCATAAAGACAACCATAACCTTGGACAAAATGCCGCCAAATAAAATAACGTACACAGGTAAACAAAAATAATTTTGTTGTAAGGTATACATGGAGTACGGAAATATTTGTACAAAATAATTAATTTTGTTGTTGTTTCTAGTACGAGAACAAAAGTGAAAATGTATCGTCATACTAAACACTTATCAAAGGTGGTATATATTAAAAATAGTGAGACTAGATATAACACTGAATAAGTAAACATTAAATAACAAAAATGCATTACAAATTTTATCAACAGGTCAAATTAACACGAAAGTACAATTTGAGAGTACTCGCAGTTACTGAAAGCTAGTTAGAAGCCAAAAACAATTAATAATAAAAAATCATGCATCAGAAAAAATCAGACTAAAATCAACCAAAACACATCCCAGGGATTTAGTGTTTTAACATCATGGACAGTCAAAGAAGACATGACTTGTGCAATGCCAAAATAAAAGTATCGACAGGCAGTAGGATAGTTAGGAGTTAACCTGTTAATAAATATGTTTAATGTAATATATAGATAGAGTAATCTCTATATAGAAAATCAACGTGGATGTGTATTTATACATCCCAGAGAACCGTTTGAAAAGAATACAAATTTAGTAATGTTTTAATCTGCTGATGACAAAATCGATATTTTTGGCGATGTAAACTATATTCAAAGATCTAATTACAACATTAATAAGATAACCTTTTCTAATAAGTTTGTTTAAAGGTTCGATGAGTTTACACGGATCACATAGTGATTTCCGCGCTTTTAGTACAATATTACCGTAAAATTTAGGATGTGAAATACCGTTTTTAATAAGTTTTCTACAGGTACAGCCAAATTTACTTATCAAATCAGTACTCATTGGAGATCAGTAATGTCTCTATAAAATGGCCTTTTAATATACAATGTATTATACTTGTGTGAACATATAGAGATTCGTTAACGTTTAAAATATTGCATTGCGATGGAGAGTAATGGCATTAGGAATTTCCGATGGGTATCAATTGGTTACTGCTCGATCCTTGCATATGAAATACAATTTATTTCAATGGTTATTTCAAAATGATGAACAAGATGTTTGGCAATGCGTCCAAGCCCTTAAACAATAGTTTCCAAAAGAAACACTTTGTTCGAATACAATTAAGGCATGATGAATTAAAAAAAATAACTCATCTTATCTAACCTAGTGAGCTAGAAAGAGGATATTTCTTAACAGCAAGGTTTCATATATATTAAACATATATCTATAGACACGAAAGGACGTAAACATCTTAGATTTTGATCTTCTTCTTTAGATTAATCAAACTTGGCAGAAATGTTCCTTACGATGTACTTTCCAAAAGACTTTACTGTTAATGTCAATTTGTCTGATTGAAAGCAGGCATGGGGCGAATTACATTGCAATGTAATGCATTATATTACAATTACTTTGACCAAACCATGCATTATATTACAAATACATTTACATGCATTTATCAAAGTAATGCATTATATTACAATTACTTTTGCAAAGTAATGTCTTGAATTACACTTTACATTTGAAAATTTTATAAAGTGAATAGAAAAATTAAACATTTTGAAAAAACAACTAGAAGTCACAAAAGATTCTAGCATATGCAGTAACTGTTCCATGAATTAAATATAAGTATACACGTAAAAAAGTCTATTTTATTCGGCTTTTACAATTTTAATTATTTTAACTTAATGTTGACTTTACTTTTATAAATATACTTTTTGTTGTTTTAATTTTAAATGAAATATTTAATTACTGTGAATTAATACCCTAATTATAAAATAAACATAGACCTTAATTAATGAACAATTGCCTAAATGGTGAAAATATTGATTGTAAAACAAACTAATTAGTGTTTTATAACAAAGTTTAATTATCTTTTATTTAAGCAAGACAAGATATTCTTTGATCTTATGACAACAATACAGTTATGCTTTTCAAATATCAATCTTTTTATGCAGGAAAATGTATGAAATAAGATGAAATAAAGAATATATTCTAATGATTAACATATTCTTAGCTAATCAAGAAATCTTAAATTTGGTTAAGTTAAAACACCAACAATATGTTAAAGATGTAGTGTGTGAAAAAAGTAATGACAAGTAATGCCATGTAATGCATGAAATTACACAACTTTTTGCTAAAGTAATGCATTATATTACAATTACATGTAATGCACAAATTGCTGCATTACACATGCATTACATGCAATTACTTGGAAAAATGTAATGCATTACCATGCATTACAATTACAAATTTGCATTACCCCATCCTGATTGAAAGTTTAAATTGAAAACCAAGAGAAATTGGATTTTAATTTTATTTTTATAGAAAGTCGAAATGAAATTACAAGTATATCAAATAACACAGAAATAATCTTTATATTTACAAACTTGCAGTGAGGTGGGAGTTTTTGTTCTGTGTTGAAGGCCTCACTGGGACTTTGGGATGAAGAACAGAAATAAAAGCGATGTTTCTGTGGTTTTGATCTGTACTGATTTTTTGGATACGCCATATCCCTTCTTTTCTATTTTATAAAAATAAGAAGATATTGTATGATTGCCAATGAGACAACTCTCCACCAGAGACCGAATGACGTAAATGTTGGCAACTATCAGTGTATATATATAAGAATAAGAAGATGTGGTATAATTGCCAATGAGACAACTCTACACTAGAGACCAAATTACAACTATCATCGAACGGCCTTCAACAATGAGCAAAACCTATACCGCAAAGTCAGCTATAAAAAGCTCGAAATGACAAATGTAAAACAATTTAAACGAGAAAACTAACGGCCTGATTTAAGTACAAAATTATGAACGAAAAAAAAAATATGACATTCAGCAACAAACGACAACCACTGAATTACTGGCTCCTGACTTGGGACAGGCTCATACAGAATGTGGCGGTGTTAAACTAGTTTGTTGGCGCCAAACCCTCTCCGTAACATAGGACAGTGGTGTAACAGTACAACATAAGAACAAACTATAAAAAATCAGTTGAAAAGGGCTTAACTCATCAGATCGATGGAAAGCAGAAAAAATATCTAACAAAAACACTGACCTGACGTGGCAGGGTATTTATACAGCCCCACTACAAAATAAGACATTAAGTACAGATCCGAGGGAACTCGCAGTTAGTTCAGAGCCAATAACAACTAATAAAAAAAAATCATGCATCTAAGACTAAGATATCAATCTTACACATCCAATATCCAATGGATTTAGTGTAAAGATGTCGTTAACAGTCAGAGAAAAACTGTACAATGCCAAAGCATAGGTATCGACAGATAACAGAGCCATGAATGTGCGTATGTATATAAAAATAATATTTAGTTTGATTCTAATTTACTGATAACAGAATCAATATTTATACCAATAAAAACAATATTCAAAGATCTAATTGCAATATTGAATTAGTAACGTTTTAGAATAATTTTATTTAAAGGGTTGATAACAGCTACAGCCAAACTTTTAAACCAAATCTTTGTATCTATTGAAGAATTTAGTAAATATTTTGAATAACTTGTACTAAAGAAATTCCTGACTTAATAATTTATTAAGTAATGCGTACATAGATTGCGTTCATTGAAATCCAAAACGTCACAGCAGACACGGGTATAGCGAACGAGTTGAGATATATAAACACCGTAACATGGTGCCCCAATCTAATTAAAATATAGATCTCGGATTTCGTTATACTACGTTATACTACATACGTATGTAGTATAACGTAGTATAACGAAATCCGAGATCTATATTTTAATTAGATTGCATGGTGCCCGCAAAGGAACATCACCGTGCAAAAAAGGACAATTAACAATAGTTCACCGTACGGCCTCCACCAATGAGCATGACCCACAACGCATGTAAAGCTATAACAGGACCCCCACATGACAAATTGAAAGCAATTCAAACGAGAAAACTTGCGGACTGATTTATGTACAAAACAATAAACAAACCAAATATGATATACAGAAACAAACGACAATCACATAATCGCAGGCTTCTGACTTGGAACAGGTACATACAGAATGTGGCGGAGTTAAACTTGGATGCGGGCGCCAAACCCTCCCCTAACCTGGGACAGTGGTCTAACAGTACAACATATGAA